CGGGCGGGGAGGGTCGCCCAGCCTTAGGCGATGCACTCTCATGGCCTAAAGGACGAAATCTTTGCTGGCCTAAAGCCGGGGGTAAAAGGAGATGCACCCTTCCGAGCTGATGCCTCCCAAAAGCTTGCTGTTTGCCTGACAGTGAGAAAATCAGCCCCGGAAGCAGAAATGCGAGAGGCCCGGTAAGAGCTGACATTTTATTCAACGCTAATACCACAGATTTACAGATACAGTAACTGTTCTCACCTAGAGACAGAAACACCCCCGCTGCTCCACGGGAAACGGCCGCCGCCCCCTCAGTACTTCTTCAGGCCGTACGGCAGCCCCAGAACCGCCTTGGCCCCCGGGAACGGCGGGGAGCTCCAGACGGCAGAGCTGGTGCGCTTGAAGTAGCGCGGTTTGCTCTTGTAAAAGATGTCCTCCAGCTTGGGGCTCGCGATCACCCCGAAGAGCGCGTCCACGTTGGGAGGGTTGTAGTACTGGCGCGTCACAGCCTGGCTGAGCTGAGCCCCTGGAGAAACAAAGGGTTAAATTTTCATTATTATTTCTAATTGAAACGGCCGTGTGGGCTGTTTGTCTGCAACGTGTCCCTGCTCTCCTCATCTCTCATCACACCAAGGTCACAAATGGGAGCAGCCCTGCAGCACTGGGTGTTTTAAAGCCCCTGTTTGAGCCTAAAGATCACGTGGAGGGTGAACACTGTGTACAGAATCTTGTCCAGGAACTAGAGTAGGGCTGCAAGAGGCAAGGCTTCTCAGCCCTTCCACCTGCAGATACCATTCGTTTCCCCACAACTTGTAGCTCCCCTGGGGTATGAGGAACACGAAAACATGGAACCGAGTATTTCAGAACAGAACCGCAGCTGGTCTGAAACCTGGCCCATGACATCTGGCATTACTTCGATTTTTAAAGCCAAATCAGTGTCACGCAGGCTCGAGGCCAGAGCACCAATCCATCATTATTCCCTCCACGCTGGCCAAACGCCACAGCAGCTCCGTTAAGGCAGTTTAAAAGAGTGTTTGTTCCCCAACATCGTAAGGAGATCCCCGAGTGGTAGAGGAGCCCTTGACTCATCACTGCTGGCGACGAGCACTGGTAACTGCAGCATGCAAGCGGGAGGAACTGGGCAAAAACCTGACCCCAGCTCTCGCTCCCCTGGCGTGTATCAGCCGGGTGACACGTACCGGTGGCCCAGGCAGGGACGGGCTTGCGAGGCTGGCTTTCGTCGTCGGTGGAGTCGTCGCTGTTCAGATCCATCCCGTAGTTGTTGGGATTGACCACGGGCGGCTTGGGATCTCTCTTGGCCTGCGGAGTCATCTGGTACGAATTGCAGGCCGGCGAATCCTGGAAGACAGGCGGACCGCACAGCGTCAGGCGCACCAGAAAAAAAACGGGCTGCAGCGAGGCGCCTCCGGCTTTACTGGGGAGGCGCAAAACCTGGAGATGGGCAGTTCTCAAGTTCTGACCCGAGAACTTGACCCAAGTTCTAAAGTTCTGACCCAAAGATGACTTTGCATTGCCTTCTCCCGTTTAATTAGGCTGCTTAATTGGCTACGTAGGACACGAACAAGCCAGCAATAGCTGCACCTAACACACCGACCGCGGCTCCACTCCCTTCAAGCAAGGCTTAAACGGAGTGGTGACATCCTTAGAGCTGGAGCCGAGTCACGTGCCCTAAACCCTCTGCAGCCAAACTTCTGGGCTTGGTTAATATTAAACCGATTGTTACCACGCAGAGAACAGGCACATAACAGCTCAGGACAAACTGTATTGCCATTTGTATGGGAACAGCACGACTGAGAAACGCAAGTGACAAAGGAAAACTTAAAACTGCAAATTTCACCAGCCACGAAACACATCTCTCGAGCTGGAAAGAGCTTTTCTTCCCCAGAAGGGGCTGCCTTTGCATCCCTTAAGGTTAACCCACGTTTCACTGCTTTGGCAGCGAAAGATGAACATAAGCAGCTTTGCAAGGAGATCAAGACCCACGTGTTTGTTCCCAGAGTTCGAGGCCCGTACGTTCACCTGTGGGTTTTTCTCAGGTGCCCTCAGCCGTGAGGCCCAAACTCCTCCAGACTCTGCTGCCATCCTGTGGCTGTTTCTAACTTTGAGCCTAAATAACTTCCAGCACCTCTTCTGCCTGCACAGTTCTCCCAGTATTGAAGGAGGAGGAGCTCTGCACCGCAAGGCAACGTTAACAGCCACTGCCTTGCCCTGACAAGAAAACCCTGGCAAACACTTGCTGCTTCCCTTCCCTCCTTTTCACTCCCAAAAGCCATTTAAATGCTCAAGGCCACCAGGAGCCAACCTCCGATAACCAGGAAAAAGGTTTACAGGATCGCTCCGTTATTGAAGGGGAATATAAAAAGCAGAGGGTAAAACTGCCCCTGTAACAGCATGTCAGGGCTGGAGTCTCTGATGTCGCCACTAAAGACATTTCACCAGAGAGCAGATTACCTCTTTGTTTTCTAGGTGCTGAGTTTGGGCTCTATCTTTAGCCTTTTGTTCCTCTGGCAGTTTCTTCTGTTCTTGCTCCTGCCTCTTCATCTCTGCCAGCCTCTGCTCCTCCTGCTGGCAAGCCAAACGAATTAATCTTACGAGCTAAGCTACGCTGTTAGCCCAGGGATCCATTTTTTTGCTATGCAAAAAAACCATCCAAGCATCTAATTGCAAGTCTTTGTTGCTTGTGGTGCTGAGGAGCACTCCAAACAGCGCAAGGCAACGGTTTGAGCTTCCGTCACAAAGGGCACAAACACACCGACCTTCTCATTCAGGGGCATCAGCTGCCTCTGGTCACACAGCGACCTCACGCTTTGAAAAACTTGCTGCTGACTTTGTCTTCAGGATATAAACACCAGAAACCAGCTGCCTGTCTGCAGATGGGAGACTCTGTGCTACTGATGTCAGCCCCTTTCTAGACTAACGAACAGCACTCTCAGAGGCCAAGCCATCCCATCGTGCAGTAACCACCCCAGACAGGTGAAAACTCTCACCCTGTGAATGCCCAGTTTTTCCTACGGGATCTAAAGGAAGCCAAGAGGCCGCTAACTCAAGCAGCAGCCGTCTAAAACCAAGGGAAACCAATCCCACACGGTCTGAACGGCAGGACGAGTTGACAGAGGGCTGCCACCAGCTGCCTGTAACTCCACGAAGCCAACTGCCAGAGCGAGGGGCTGGCAGGGCATGCAGGGGTCCCCAAGGGGAATCCAGCTCCCTGAAGGCGGCCAGACAACTGCTGTCACTGTACCAATGCCACAGCTCTGCTAAGTGGAGGGACAAGGAATTTTAGGCAAAAGTTGGGACAATTTCCAACCAACTATTCCAACCTTCTGTTCTTTCTCACAAATCATCTTGAAAGTGTAGGTTCTCCCAGATCTTACATAAACCCAAAAGCAACAATCAGTCCAAATAGCAAAGGGTTTGCTACCAATTCCCAGCCATTACTGGGTGCAAGTCCTTCAGAAGGGGCGTTCCAAAAGCCACCTGAACGCCACCTGTGGGCTCTATCCCTGCTCCAGTGAAACGCACGCTGCGAGTTAAGCAAAACCCTGAGCCCACCCCGCTGCAGTTGCTTTATTCCAACAGCACGGACTGCCCAGGCATCACAAGTTCCCTCCTCAACACCACAAGCAAAAACAGCTGCTTAGTTCTCTGTGCTGGCACGACTGCTGCCGAAAACAACCTGACCAAGTCGAGTACAGTCGGTGCCTGCCGTTCTACTGGAAGCGGCACAAATGTAAAACCAAGATGTTGCTTCCGAGAGGTCTGGGGTCAATTACTGCTTGACCTCAAGAGAGGTACAGGTACGCCTGGGCACAGAAAGGCGGACAAAGCCGAAGACCTCACCTGAATCCAACGTGGCCGTTACCTGCCCTTTCTTCTTGCGCCGCTGCCATCTACAGAGAGCAAGCGCACCTTCCGAACGGGACAGAGCAGGCCCCGGGTAAGAGCCCCTCTGCTCGGCTCGAGTCCAGAAGTGCAACAACTCGCCAGGGCTCCCGATGGCCTCACAGCTCAGCGGCGCCCGACACTAACAGCTACTGCAGTCAGACCTGGGCGGCCTGGCCCTTCCACCAGAACACAGTACTTACTTCATTCTTCTCCACCTCCTTGTGCAGCTGTTCTTTAGCAGCCGACGCCTCCTGCAGGCGAGCAGCCTTCTCCTGCTGTTCACGCAGCCTGGGAACCAAAGCCAGACCATTACTCCCAGAGCTGCGCGGGGGGTACCCTCCCACCCAGTGCCTGCCGCAAACCCCTCTTTCTCTCTCAGCTTTTCAGGGCACTCCACGCTTCCTACGTTACAGAGCCCAGAATTCCTTCTTGGCAGCTCGGTACCTGTGCTGGTGCAGAGCTGCACTGGCAGCACAAAGCAGCTCTTTGCTGCTGGGGCCTTTCACTAGCGCCCTCTGTTCTGCTGCTTTTCAAAGTCCCAGCACAGAACACAGTACACAAATGGATATTGTCTTACTTCTCTGCCTGGATCCTCTCCTGTTCCTTCTTCCTCTCTAGCTCTCTCTCTGCAGCCAGCTGTTTCTCCCTCTCCTGTTCCGCCTGTCTCTGCTCAGCAATCTTCCTGGCACGTTCCTGCTCCTCTTCCTTCCTCTTCTGCATTAGCTCTTTGTGCCGACGTTCCTCCTCCTCCTGGTAAGACCAACACGGCGGTTACTCACGGGGCGCTGCACAGGAACAGGCTCCAGCATAAAGGAGCAGGAGCACCTCCTCTGACCCGAGTCTCTAGCACCCACCGCTAGGCAGGAGGGAAACCACTGAGGTCCCAGTGCTCTCCAGGCAGGCACACCTTCTCTCCAGCTATTTCAGTGCTGGCCTTTGCCTGCCCACACTGCGCCCCAAAGGCCTCATGGCCGCCACGCTCTGGATCACCGACAGACAGGGATAACAGAGATTTTAACCCCTGCCAACCCACAAACGAAGGTCTCTCGTGAGAATCTGTCCAGAACCGCGGAAGAACCGCGGGTCGCAACCACCGTGACCAGCACAGCTATCGCAGGAGGAGTGGGAGGCACAACGCTGCGCAGAGCTTTGAGGACAGCGCCTCCCCGCTACGCTGACGGTCACTCCGCTGGCTCCTGTCACTACTCCTGCTGACCCCCTTGCTCACAGAGGCTGTGGCAGATGGCGGCCACTCTAATTGCCTGCAAGATGACAGGATGGGCTCCAGCACGGACCTGCTGCAGGGCTTTTTGTTTCCTGGCCTCTTCATCGTGCCTGCGCCGGGCCTCTGCTTCTTCCATTTTCCTGGCAGCTGCTTTCTTTTTGATCTTCTCCTCTGCCAGCCTTTCTTCCCGCACCTAAGACACGCACAGAGATGGCTGGAGAGCAAAGTCTCAGGGGGGACAGTTCTCTGTGCACATGAAATGTCACAGCAGTAAGTCTCAAAGATGAAGAGCTCCCACCCTCTCACAGGGCGAAAGGTTCCTCTTTTGCCACCAGGAGCCAACAGGACCTGTGCTTTAGTATTTAGGGAAACGACCTCCTTTTACATCTCCCCAGGAAGAGCTGATCCTGTTCTGGTATTTGTACATCTAACACCACAAAAGCCATCAGAACATATTCTCAGAACCAGGAAATAAGAAAAGCAGATGGAGATAATTAAAGCAGACAAATGACTGCTACGGTCACATGTGCAAATTGTCTGAAAGCCTCAGACACGAGAAAAGGTCTGGAGGAAGCGTGTTTATTTTCACCCCTTCATCTATGAGATGGGAGAACAGCTTCAAGTAGATAAAGCCTCGGGGCCATTAGGCTGGCTTTATCTACTTGAAGTTCTACTTCCACCTGACTAACAGAGCCTCAATAAAGCCCATTTAGATTCATAATTCTGGAAAATAAGGGTTTTCATCTGCCGTTTGCTGTAACCAAGAGAAAGGTAGTCTTGGAATCACCAAGTTTCTGGGAATTTCTTTATCCAGCTATTCTCCAGTTTGTTCTCTAGATTTCAAGCAGCCTCACCTCCTCTCTTTCTGGAAGGCACACTCTGGTGGCATCATCTACCTCAACAGATTATTTATTCTCCCAAACAAACACTACAGGTATGTGGGGCCTTACCTTCTCAGTCTTCTCATCAAACAGAGCGATCTTCTGCTCAATGCGCCTTTTCCGCTCCTGTTCGATCTGCTCTGCCCGCTCCCGAGCTTGCAACACTTTGCGCAGGCGCTCCTCACGCTTCCTGCAGGACACAGCCCAGCTTCAGCACTGCAGCCCAGCAGATGAGCTCCTCACGGCTCGGACACAAGGCCGACAGACACAGCTCTTGGGCAGCGTGAAACTCACTGAACCAAATACACCATTCGCTTAAACATCAGCAATATTTTTAAGCTCCACCTGAGACAGAGGACTTAAGACAAAAGGCTGAAGAGGCAGTCAGCTGGGATAGTTAACTATTTATTAGCATCCTAGATAGATAATTGTCTTTGCCTTGCGAGAGCAAGCCAACAAGAATTTTCGCTGCATGTACAGACCCCCCAAGATAAAAGACCCAGATATAGGGACCTACAGGTGCAGAGAGGCAGAAAGCGTATACTCACAGCCTTGCCTCTTCTAGGCGCCGCTGCTTCTCCTCCTCCAGTTTTTGTCTTCTCAGCTGCTCAGCTTCCTGCTTTTTCCTCAGAGCCTGCAGCTTCTGTCTCTCCCATTCCTGAGGTGGATTGAAATCTGGTTACAGCCGCCTGCCAGGGCTTTTCTACTCAACTTGCTCAGGTTAAGCAAGGGCCCAGAGATAACAGCAAGGGACCGCAGCCAGGACCAAGGGGTGGCAACAACCCTGAAACAGAGCTCAGGTGGCCTGTGGTGTGGTCATGGATGTCTGGGAATGGATGTGATGGAAAACAAGGCAGTGGTGTTAATCTTAAGAGAGCAGGAGAAGGAGCTGGGAAGTCAAAACAGAAGCCTCAGCACTCGAAGCCCAGGCAGCTTCCACCGACTGCGGACAGACAGCACTGCCGTTTATGTCGGCAAGGAGAACCACGACAGCCGCGCTACTGCTTGGCAGCGATACCGACCTCCCGCAGCGAGAGCGGGGACAGACAGTGCTCTAGGAAACACCTTGCCTCTTCAACTCGGAGCTTCCCACAAAGCCCCATCCCATGGTAAACCACCACCATCTAGACAGGGTGCTTCCAGCTTGTTTCAAGCCGTCAGCCCCATACATCACCTAGACAGAAACGCAGCAGGGCATGTATCCCATTTTTCCCAACAGTCCAGCTAATTCAGCCTAAGTATACTGTCAATTAGAAGAGTAAGATGCAGTCACCAGTACAGTCACAGCAAACACATTAAGATAAACTAATTTAATGCCAGACTTGATACTGCAGATGCCCAATTACAGCAGGCCTGGTCTTAGCACAAACCCATCAGTAAGCACGGTGAAACACTCAAGAGATTACCTTATGCTGGGCTCCATGTTGCAAATGACTGGTGTTACTAGTATCCAAACTGCCTAATTTAAAACTAACAATTATCTTGTTGCTCTGGTGCTATTTAGTTAAGTTTAGCCCTCACACAGAAAAAGTCCCGAGGGGAAGTGGCCCGCACTGGAGTGAAACCCAAAATACGACATCCAGTGAACTGACAGCAGCAGGGGATGCACTAGCCCGGAGACTCTTTCCTCATCATATCAGCTCCTTTGCCAACAGAGACACTAACGTCAGCAGGACACCAGCGAGACTGCAGCTTGAGTCCTTCACTGCTTCCCAGCGACAGACTCCTCTTACCTGCTGGGGTGCAGCAGCAACCGTGACAGCTTTAAGCCACACGACGAAGTTCTGCCATTAGGTTGCCAGGTACAAGCCAGATGCAGGAAATCCAGTTTCTGCAGATGCCCTCCTCTCCCTCCCCAGCTCTCCTGCAAGTGAAAACCAGCCCTAGAACTACCTTATTCTGCAGGGAACTTGCAGGGTATTAGAAGCATGAGCAACCCGTGCTCGGCACGCCAGCTTCTAGCTACAGCCTCGTCCTGGCCCGATACTGTCAGAGCGCTGCTCTGGAACTACGGCACACCGACCGAAACCTGCTTTTCCTTGACACCAACCTCTCTTCTGAGCGAAATACCAACCATAAACGCAGACCAGGCAAGAGCGAGGGCTGCCCTCAGCGAGGCGGGCAGTATTCCTACTGCCAGCCCAGCCCACGCCATTAAATGATGACGGTTTGTGACCCAACTGCCTCACGTAAGCAGGACACAGGGAAAACCAGCTCCCTTTGGAAATCTAGAACCAGACCTTCTCAAACCCCATCCACCCAAACGGCTGCTCTGTTTGGGATACAGGCGCTTCCCCTGGGGCGCTGTGAACGTCACCGTGGCGTTGCACAGGCAGAGGCATCTGCCCGCAGACAGCAACGCTGTTCGCCTCCGCTGGCTGCGGCAATCACACTACGCCGACAGCGATGCCGGGTAAGTTTGGGCAGCGGCAGACCCGCCTCACTGAGCCAGCAGCCTCCTATTCAGGACGGGCTCTTATTTCTTCCTGCTTCAAAGGTCCAAAAAACCTCAGAACACCAGAAGCTTCGACTTAAGAGGCATTTGCTCAGATCTCACTCATTAGAAGTCCTAGAAAGGAGACTTTGGATGTGCAGACTGCAGTTATATACACACCTCACTGCAGTATTCAAAATCCCCTTGATTTTTCTTTCCCAGGTTTCATTCCCAACCCTTACTTGCTAATACCACAGGGGAATGTTACAGTAATAAAGCTTAGGGTCCAAATTAGAAGTCTTTAGGGAGCTGACTAATCACAACTTTATTTAGTTTATGTTACGTTAGCTTAAAGTTACTTCTCAGTCTGATATGGGTTGAAAGGTTTCTTTCACATCTGTGCTTTAACTTAGCCACTCGACAGACCATCATGTACCAGCCCACAACAGAGTCTTGCCTTACCTTGGGATTAGACTGGAGAGGAGTATTGTACCTGATAAAAGATTTTATTACTCCGTTTCTCCCCACAGAGCTTGGCGTCATGAGGAGCTGGTTCTTCTGCACAGTGTGCAAAAACGTTTTGAAAGGACGCACAACCTGTGAGAAGAAAGGCAAAAATGGTCCTCAGAAGCGCGAGTAAGAACCAGGTCTGGGTGAAGTACAGCAGGGTTACAAGGATCTTACTTTGCTGGCTGGGAAGGCAGGGGATGGGGTCTTTCTTCTTGGAGGAGAAAGCCCTCCATCTTCTGCTTGCTGACTGTCATAGCGTTTATCCACAGCTCTCTTATAACTGGGCTTTCTCCTGCAAGAAAAGCAGAGTCCGTCATACACGGCAAATCCTCCCGATTGTCCCAAAGTCAGGTTTAAAAATAGGTCATAAAACTATCCCAGCTTAAAAGATATTTCGTTGTGTACACACAAGTATCTACCCAATAAAAAATTTCCAATGTGACAGAAGATACAAATTAAATCCTCTTTTCACAGGGGCAGAGAAAACTTATTGCAGAAGTTTCAATAAGTCACAAAACACTGAAGCCATTCAACAGTGTTATAGCGTTGAACCTGCCCTGAGCTGGACCACAGATCTCGAACCAGACCGATGCCACCAACGTACCTGGCACTCTGGGGAGGTTCCTGGGTCTCCACGTTCTTATTTAAGTTGTTTTCTGAAAGAAAACATAGTTACACAGTTAGTTCTAGCAGGAAAAATAATCCTTTCCCAGACAGCTCTGAAAGCAGACAACAGATTGGGCAGCTAAGTAGCCAAAGGCCTGCCGTGAATGACGCAGAGCGGGACCTCTCTTGCTTTCACCAGCCACCGCCATTCAAACCTGGAAATGCACGACAAAGCCAAGCCGCCTGAAGCAGCCTGCGGCGTGCGTCTGCTCCAACGCAGTGCCACGGGCTCTGCGGAACAGAGCAACTGCTCGCTTTGGAAACGGGGTTCGGCTAGGCCCCCCCTCACCTGGGGATGCATCCCTCCACCTCCATCACATTTCCATGCACTTCCCGGGGTGGAAGGTAACTCCAGCAGCGAATTTCCTAACTGCTAATCTCTTGAAACAAATCCCCGCTTGCCAAAGGTTAGACCGGTCTTTCAGACTGGGCTCTCAACCCGACTAGCCAATCTCTCAAACTCCCCACTCTGCCTCCCAGCGAAGCGGGGACTTTTCAAAGTTCTGCCACAAGAATCCCGCGGGAGCTACCGTTGCTGCTCGTCTCCTGCGGCTGCTCGTTTCTGCTGACGGTTCGAGAGCGAAGGGACATTCGCAGGCTTTGGCCATCCTGCAGGGAAAGCAAACGGGTTTCAGCACAATTCTCGCACAGCAACAGCCGATTACTGCTTCAAATCACGACGTCGTTCTGACAAGGCCGCTGTCTGCCCTATCACCAGAGAATACAAAACCATACGCGCAGGGGAAAGCATCAGTGCCAGCACCCGGAGCCAAGTCCTGACCTCAGCTGCGTGAAACACCTCAGGACACCGCCATGGCAAACGCCACGACGTCTAAAGCAGAGACACGGACAGAACACAAGTGTCTGCAGCGAGGGACGCGCTGCTTAGGCCGAACAAACTCATAAACCATTAAGGGCAAAAGCACTGTCTATGCTGTCTATGCTGGCTGGACTTCTGGCAGAGTCAGGCAGCGCTCGCTTCACTTCACAGTGATGAACGGACGAACAGGGAGACGGCAAAGAACCAGCTCATCGCCTTGATTTATCGGTTTGTTACGAACACGACACGCGTTGCCGTTTGCTGCCTTTGCCCTTACACTGATATACAACCACTCTGTTGTGATAATGGGTTTACAGGCCCGTGAGAGAGCACGCGATGGCTTTTGGAACCCGCAGGCAGCTAGCAACGCGAGCATCAACCCTGCTCCCCAGACCCGCGCTGGCCAGCGTGCAGGCTGGCAGACACAGCGGAGCTGGGAAGAGGAGAAAGAAGTATCCTCTCAGCCTTATCCTCCCCCAGTGCTTCTGCAGGCTCTCACCCTCAGGCGAGGCAGAGGAAGCATTCTGTAGCCCCCGGAAGGGCACAGACGTGATCAATCCGAGATCAGGCCCGGGAAGAACGTGACCTTTGAGGAACAGCTCACACACAGGTACTGCCTGCGCACCTTCCTACAGACAAAGGTATTTTCTGGTTTGGGAAGGTTGCCGAGTCACCACATTTTCATGCTGCTCACCGCTCCCAAAGGAAGTCTCTGACAGAAACGGAACCCCGTTTCGTTTGCTGAGAAAACTGCTGATCGATAGACAGACAGACAGACAGGGTATGGTAACTGGTGACATAGGCTGAGAACGGGACAGGCGACAAGGCCCCGCTCCCAGCAGCAGTGGTGCAGAAACAGAAGGTGAGGATCAAGGATAGACCAAATACACGACACGGACTAGCCTGTGCTTATAAACTCATCAGGGTACAGAAACAAAGCGAGCCCTCTGCTCACAGACCGGCAAAGCGTCTGTCATTGTTCTCCCCATTTTCACTTTAAGCTTTTCTACAACTGTAACTCAGGCAAGCTAAAAATCCAGAGGTGCTAGAAAAACTGAGCTAATGTGAACTTCCGCAGAGGTACTGACAAGCCCAGCCATAAAAGCATGCACCAGCCTGTCCCTGTTTACGGAAGTGCTTAAGGCCACAGAGCTCCGGTCCATTAATTCAGTCTTTGCTTATTGAAAATTAATGTGGACAAAACATCAACATAATCCCAGGATTTCTTCCTCAGGAGGTCAGTGAGAATTGTGGAGGGATGTTTTGACGTGAATGATCTTTACAAATTTCTGTGTTTGTCTTAAGACAAACTGACGGGCTTTGAATAACCTGTAGGACTAATGAAAAGGTCAAAAGAAGCTTTGAAAATACAGAAACAGTAATAGTGCACAAACTCTGTCCAACTGAACAAAAACTTCCCTGAATTATGAGGTTATTTTTCTGTATAGATTCAGGATTGACTTTTCATACAACTGATCTCTAGCAAGAGGCTAAGAAGCAAGAGCCAGAAAGCCAGACGGGGTATTCAGCCTGGTGTGCATCAACCCATCGTTCACATTTGAACATACTGATGCAACACGACAGAGAGAATGCCATCTTCTAGTCAGAGCTAGCCTGGCTTTGGAAGCACTGGAGACCATAACACCACACCGACAGAGCACCTCCCTCTGCATCCAAAACAAGCCTTGGGTCACAGGGGCTCATTTTCCAAATAAAACTTTACTGGGTTTTGTTTTGCCAGTTTTGGAACATTGTGATTAAAACAGACATAACAACCTCAGGCTTTCTCTAGGCTGCATGCGGGAACCAGGGAGGCGACGCAGAGGCTTGGGCACCTGCGGGAGCCGAGCGCTCGGCACCTTCTGTTCTCGTGTGCAGCCCCTGGACTGAGCTGCGGGCAGAGCTCCCCAACAACCCACGGAGGTGGGCGCCACACACTTCGCTCACAAGGCCACACAAACAGAAATGCTTTTAAACTCTGCTCAGATCTTACCTGCTTGGAGGGGGTACAAGGTCCAGAAGGAGGCCTAAGAAAAAAAAAAAGGAAAAAATGCAGCCCTGTTTAATAACACCAAGGAAACTGTGAAGCCAGTTGTTTCTGCAAGCAGCGCATTCAATACCAAGAATGCCGCTGTAAAAAAGTCCTCCAGGGTATTATGGATAAATAAATATCTTAAAAGCGTCTCACCCAGTTTTGACAACTGTTTCTTCGTCCTCTGGCACCTCTCCAGAGCTGGAGACTGCAGGAAAGGAAAAAAAGCCAGAGCTATAATGTACAGGTGCAGGGCAAGGCTCTGCTGGAGCGAGGTTCCCCAAGCCTGGGCAGAGGCATCTGCTGAGCCTCCTGGTGACCGCCTGCAGCTCGGGCATGTGCCGCCGCAAGCACGGGCAGCCGCACGAACCCGCGCAGCACCAGGGAAATGCTGCAATTTCGGTGTCAGAGAGCAAGTGGCTTCAGCTACAGGCGAGCTCAAAGCGCTGTTCCATGAGCCGACATTAGGAGCGACCAGGTTTGGGCTCAGACTCATCCTGCAGGGCCACCTCCAGCTACCAGCAGCAGTTAAATGCGGCGTCACTCGAGCGCGAGTGCAGCTTCCCTCCACATCTTCCAGCCGGCTCAGCAGCAGCAGCTTTTTAAGTACCAGCACCCCAAAACTGCCGCTCGTGCCGAAGGCAGCGCTGCAGCTCCAGCCCGGGCGGGCGGTGCACAAGGGCAGGCTTCGCAGGGGCAGGGCAGCCCGGTGGGAGCACCAACACACGTGCTGTACAGACCTGCGCAAGAGCCGCTGCACCAGGACGCGGCAGGCACGCTCTGCCGGCGACCGACGCGCTTTGGGCTTCACCAGCTCGACTGGAGCTGCCTGAAACACCCCAGTTCCTCTCCTCGCACCCCGAAATTTTGACTAGCCAGAAGAACAGTCATCTCAAGTAGCAGAGAGGGGAGAAATAAAGCCTTCCTTCAACCTCCCAGGTAATCCAGATCCAGACAACACAGACTGATCATTTAAACCGGGCAGGTAAAGCTACTTCAGGGCCTCTTCAAAGTTACAGCTGGAAAGTCATCCCTGTGGTTTAATTTTTTACTGAGGGAGCCCTCAACACCACGCTTAGAAACTTAGACAGCACTCCACACCACTCTGGTACCGCCACTGAAACCCTGCCCGGGGGGTGCAGTGCTCTGGTTCTGGAAAAACAGTGACATTGGTATGGCAGAAAGTACTACAGCGCCTGTCCAAGTCTACCCTTCTACAGCAAAAAGAGGACGACTCTTCAAGCAAAGCCAGGTTCGCACAGCACAAGTCCCACAAAGCTAGAACGCTGCAGATGAACGCATTACAGTAACGTTATTTCAGCTGTATTAGTTCTCCCTTCAAGCAAAGTAGTATGTTGTGCAAGAGAACCAATCTCTCCTCAACATCAAATTCTGTGGAAGAGGTTCTCTTGCACCATCTACATTTCAGGAGCCATTTACTAGCCCACCATTTACCAGCCACTTCTTTCCCTCAGCCTGAAAAAAAAAAAGTGAGGTTATATCCACCCCTGCGTCCTCCTGCACCACATCCAACGCTTGCATTCCAGTAGCACAGAAAAACATTTAAATCAGTTTATCCTTCGCTGAGACCTGCCTCTACTGCAAGCTGTAAAGGCTTGGAAGACTTAACAAGTTTACAAAGCCAAGCCTTAAAATCCCCTTCTCAGGAGAGGCTCTACAGCTAGCAGCCAGATTCTGTTTAAAGAGCAGCAAATTTATGGTAGTTGCTTCACTCCCCAGAAAACACACAAGTCTTTGTGAGAGCCCACACCAACAGCAACCAACCCCGTGCACCAGATTCCTCCTTGGCTTTGTAAGCTGCCGCCACAGAAACTCGGGAGACATTAAGGCTGTTCCCCCCAAAGGCTGAACTCGTAGCCACAAGCTGTTAGCTGCCACAGTCACCCAGGTCTCTCTACTGACAGGTCTCTAGAAAGCCATTGAGAACGCCCACACTTAACTGCGGCTTGCCTAGCCCAGGGAGATCAGCTGCTGCACCCAAACTGAAGAACTAGCCCCACAATGCTGTTTTTCCTCAGCAGCAAAAAGCACCAGATCAACAAAAAGAGCAGGAACAGCACAAAGCAAACTCATCTGGTGACATTCGAACTTACCACCCACGCGATCGGATGACACGGATGACTTTTGAGCTGCCTTCCTCTTGACCATTGTCCTGGTGACAGATTTCCGGATTGTGCTTTCCCTCTTCCTGGCTAGGGAGTACTTCTCTGCCAAGGAGGTTCTGCGAGTCATGGAAGTTTTACCCATCAGACTTCTGCGGACAGAGCGGCGGCTGAGCCTAGAGCCCGTCGGAGTCCCTGGGCTATCCCTTGTGTACTGGGAAGGCTCCTTGTCAGGCCCCGCTAGCACCTGGAGGGAGTCATCTACCTCCTCCAGCCTGGGCTCTTCGCTTAAAATGACAGTAGCATTAGCTGCCTCTGCTGTGTTCCACTTAGCTGCAGCCTCGCTTTCTCTTGCAGCGCTCGCCTCAGGGGTACAAGGGACCACCAGCTCAGAGGCCGCGGGCACAGGCGGCGATTTGGCAGCCTCGCTTTCCTTGGGAGAACCATCATCTGGGCTCAGGAGGATGGTCGTGGAGAGCTTCTCCGCTGGTTTAGATGCCGCTTTCTGGACGTGTAGGTCAGCACTAACGTGACTGTTGACATCCAATTCTACTAAGGGAACCTTCCCTTTCGCTTGCTGAAGAGGAGGGATCTCAGGAAGGATCTCTGAGCTTTTAGCAAATGTTGCAGCCCGGGATCTTGTCATCCGCTGAGGTGGAGAGACCTGTTTAACCTCAGCCCTGATTAGTTCCAGGTTTTCTTTATTCCAGAGTTGTTGAGAGCATCGTGTGGAGGGTCCCGGTTTGAGGCTGCTCTTCTTCCGTCTGGACAATCTAACAGCAGAAACAGCGCGTTAGAGCCAGACCGGGCTCAGGAACAGGCCAAAGCCTTCCCACGCGCAAACGGGAACGCGCAGGCAAAGTTAAAACCCCCGGGACCGGCGCCGCCAGGAGCTGGGGACACACCGAGCCGCCGA